AACTAGCTAGCTAGCTAGTATAGCAAACATGGGTTCTCTTATCTGCACTTCCTCTTTTTCCCCACTTTCATATACTCTCCATCTATCAATGATCAAACAATGACAACATCTCTGTCTCTCTCAACTCTAAACCACCCCCCCCCCCCCCACCAAAAAAAAAAATGAAAAAGAAAGTAAAAGATGATGTTTGATGATCATTCAATCCCCCACACCCGACGTGCCCCTACCCATGTGCTTGTTATTTTACTACCACTACAGACTCCCCCACTTGTTTTCTTTTCTTTTATTGCCCATTTGCCTTTTCATTTTCCCATCTTTATCGACTTACTTATCCTTCATGTGCTGCTTTTTTTTCATGTAATTATTATGACAAGCATATGTATACGTATGTGTATAGTATTTATGATGTTAATAATTGTATTGGGAATGGCTTGCTGGTCCTGGGTGATCGACAAGAATACATCTCCTGGGTGATCGACAAGAATACATCATGAATTCATATTGATCATAAAACTATACACACACACACAAGTAAATATAGTTGCACAGCAGCACATAGAGGGTGGGAAAGAAGTGGTTTTGGTTGGTGATCTTGGTGTTGGTGGCTGGATTAATTTGGACATATAATAAAGGATGTCCCCAGCCTTGAGTGTACAAAATTTTCATATCTGTTTCCAAGCATTTTAAGTGATCAGTGAGCAGACGACAAAGGCAAAGATGAAGGTGATAAAGGAGAAGTAGAGCCATCCTTTCCCACTTATCCTATTCTTTCACTTTGCTGCTTTTATTTGGGAATCAAAAGGAAATAATACGACATTATTCATAACTAGATTACACTTAGCAAATGGGAATAGACAATTGGACATCCCCCATGTGCGCCAGTGCGTTATGTATGGGAGAGAAGAGAACCCTTCAGTTATAGCATCATTCACTCTTTCCTTTTCTTTCCTAGTACTGTTGTTTAGCTTTGTGTCTTTGTTTGCAAAACCCCGTTGTCCTTTTTACAATGGGTATTTATTTTGATTGCATTTTTAGATTGTTAAATCTCTAGTTTCGTGTACACGCATCAACTAATCATTGAGATCAATCTGTAAATAAATCTTCGAAAGCATATATATCCAAATGGTAGCCAATTTGCTAGCCATCACCTTTTTCTTTCAAATCCGACGATCCAACTTGTAATATTCTTTTCATAAAATTAAAAACAAATATAGAAAAAGATATTGTATTGCACTTTTTCAGTTCGTCTGTTAAATCGATAAGACTAAAATATGGGTTTAACTCAAATGGTTATTCCTGTCTTTTGAAAGGTGGATTTTCGATTGAGATTTGATATCTAGTTCTTCTAAATTCCTCTTCTCCAATTACACCTTAAACTTTTTTTTTTTTTAACAAAAAATCCTGGAGCAGCTTAACCCAAGTTATTCATCTATATTTTTTTAAGAACCAAATTTTATTAAAATTGGATAGGATCCTCAACATTTACAAAATTTTCTAATCTAATTTTTCTTGACCTCTTTGTTTAAAAAAATGTTAATAATAATAACCCACCTCTTACAGTTGTATATAATTAATGTAGTTGTAGTTTGCGACCCATGCGGGATTTTTATTTTTTTATAAAATTATTTTATTAATTAAATTTAGTATGATAATATTATATTTTTTAATTAAATTTATATGTTGTTATTGTCTTTATTTTAATCTAAAATCAAAATATAAAAAATTTTCTATATAAAATTTTATTTAAAATTGAAAAGCATATTTTGTCTTTTTTTTTTTCCAACTATTTATGTATTAGGATTGGTAACTGAAAATTAAGAGAAGAAATTTGGATTTTAGTGTAAAATATGTGATAAAGAACATAAAAATATAATATTAATTCAGGATTAAACAATCACTCATTTTAAAATAAGTTATTTTAATTTTTATGAATTAATCAATCAAACAAAAACACTAAAAAAATTTATAATCTAAAAAATATATGTTAAAATTAATTTTAAAATTTTTTTATATGTTAAAAAAAATATAATAATTTTAATTGTAGTCAATCCACTGATATTTATCTTTGTCAATTAACCATTAAATAATAATTAAAAGATTTTATTAGTAAGTGCATTTATTTCATACTTGCACATATCATTTTTTCTTGTTGATATTTACATATATTTTAACATATATTTTAAGATTATATTTAAGGCTAGATTATAAATATAAAACATTAGATAATATAAAAATAAATCAAAAGTACATAGTACTAATTTAATATAGGATAAAATTTATCTAAATAAATTAATAAAATTTTAATAAAAGTATAAAGTTATTAATTTAATGACTATAGTTTTCAAATTTTATAAGCTTTTATTCAAATGTTGAATAGTTGATAGATAATAAATTTTTAAAATATGTTTTTTATATGAATTAATTAATTGGAAATAATACAAATTTTTTTCTCATGAGATAGATAAGAATCTTTCATTTAATGTAGTATTGTAATATTAGAAAGATAACATATAAAATTGAAATTTAGTCTTTCGATAATAATTTAAATTAAAAATTTATTATTATTAATTATTAAATGGTAATACATCAAAACAAACTCTTATTCTTATGTAGTATCAATATTGAATGTTAAAAGTTAAGAATTTTGAGCACAATTTAAGATAAATAATAATAAAAAATTGAATTTTAATTACAATTTGAATTCAATTTGAACCCTAACTTATTCATAAAAGACAAAAACATTGGCTATTTATAAGAAAATGATTGAAATATTATATTTATTATATAAAATCATTCAAATAAATCAATTCTTTACTCTTAATCTTTTGAGAGATTTAAATCCCCATTTAATTTTACTTTGTCAATAATACTCGATTTGATCAATACTAACACTAACTGAAAACTTGATTTTTACTTAATTTAAAAAAAAAAAAAACAAATTTACTCTTAAAACCTTTGTGCTTATTAACACAATTTCTTATTATTGGATCCATTTTTCCAAACTGTAAAGGCTTATTGATGGGTAAATAACAAATCTCTAATAATGCAATAATTTATTATCTTTATTGTTCAATTTACTCCAATGAATGCCAATACATTTCTAACACATTTCTCAAACTTAAAAGATACTAATTAATTTAGTTAGAGGTAAATGATGGAGATTGTACGTTAAGTGATTAATGTGAACTTCAATTTCGTTTTGAATTTTCAAACGAAATGACAAGGCAAATCAATTAACATAATTCCCATTATATATAATAATATTTAAGAAATCAATACATTTATAATTTAGATAATGAATTACAATTTTATTTTCAGTTATATGTATAAGATAGTTTAATTTCATTTGGTATTTGAATAATTGAAATTTAAAAATTGTTAATCCCAAGCAAGATTAATTTGTGTAAACCATCTATATTTATTTGGACATTCCCTTGGGTATCATATCCTATTTTCTTCATGGCAATAATCATTTACTATGGTATTTGAAATCAAACATGTTCCTGATAACAACTTGTTAGTAATTAGAAAAGCTAGAAAAACTTTGTAGTCAATACTAATCACATAGCATACGTATATACATTTGCACATAAAAATTATAAATTACTTCATAAAAAAATAAACTAAAAATTAAATTTAAAGAAAAATAAAACAAGCCATTTTATATTGTGTATGAAATGTTTTCTAAGGCATATCAACATATTTGTATGTTATACTAATATTGTTCTAAAAATTAAATGTAGATTAGTTTTTTTGCTAAAAAGCAAATTGTAATATTAAAAAAAATAAAAGAAATCACACTTTAAAATAAAGAGAAATAAAACAAATGGAAGAAAAAGAAACATATCAATGGAACAAATTAAAAAGAAAAAATAAAAATAGAACATATTAGAATTATAGAACAAAAGTCCAATATTATTATCTGTAATGGACAAAAATATATTCCTGTTTATAATATTGAATTTGGTGTAAAAAATTAAAAATTAAATAAAATTGAGAGTGATTTAAGGTAAAAAATAATTAACTTTGATAACAATATAAGGTAAGAGTAATGAATATTTAAAAAAGAATAAATATAATAATCTAAATTAAATAAATTTACTTTTTTACATTACAAATGAATCAAACCAAATTAAGCATATTGATTTTTTAAATTAAATATGTATCAAATAAAAAAAAATATATATGTTTATTAGATGACACATGATGTTTATTAATGATTGTACATATGTGAAAAATAGAACATCCACATTGAATATTTTCCTTTCTATTGAAGGCTTTGGTTTTTATATATTTGTATAAGATAAGATATATGATCAATAAGGTGTTCAAGGTATTTAATATTTATTATAATAAGTTGACTAAAAACTAAAAATGAAATTAATGAGAGTAATTTATGAAATGTATAAAAACTATCATTTAATAAAAATTTAATTTTATAACAATTTATTTTAGTCAATTAATCATTTAAAAATAAATGTTAGTAAGAATCATTGAATGGTTTTGTAATAATGGAAATAAGATATTTTAAATTAAATTTATTTTACCATTAAATTTTAATTTTTAAAATTTAAATATATAATTAATTTTGAACACATCAATTTTTTAAATTGTTCACATGTTAAAAATATAAATTATCCACATCAAATTATTTCATTTTTTGTTAGAAATTTTGAGATTACGTATGTAAATAATACCCTATATGATGAATCTAGTAAGACATTTAATGATAGAATAGTGACATGGGAATAAATAATTAACACAACTTTTAAAGCAGTCATTGCCAGAAAATCAGGATGTATTGGTTAATGTTAAATCTTTTAAGTTTGAAAGATTTTTGTTATACTTTAAGACTACTATATATAATAAATATGTTCATTAAATACATTGAAAACATCATATAACTATCAATTATTGCATTTAATGAAAATATTTTTTTATAAATAGTATATTAATTACTATTAATGATAATCTTTAACAAATTAACTTTAGAAGTCCCTCTTCAATTTTTCATTGGAGAAATGAAACTAGTGTTCATGCCAATGATTTGTGCTAAAGCCAGAAGCCGACCCTTGGGCTTGGCAATTTTCTTAGAGTTGCAAGAGAGTAGAGAAATGAGGACCAATAAGGTAAAAAAACCCAATATTATGGACTGACTACCTTTTAGGCCGCCCACGATGATGTGATCTTTGGGCCCATCAAAACTACCTAATTTGATAATCCCCTATGGCTTTGGGTAAGGTGAGAAGAACGGCCGAGGATTTTAGGTTTCCATCCAACTTTACAGTTCTCTTCTGTTTGGATAAAGGAAAAAAGAAAAGAAAAGAAAAAATAAAACAACAGCAGCAGTTTCATATATGAAGGTGAACTGCCCCTGAAAATGAAAAAACTTAGAAATTTTCATTGCCTCGTCTAAAAAGCAAACATGTTTGAGCCACCGGAATCATAAAAAAATCAGACTAAATAAAAGCTATGTAAGATTGACCTAACAATTAGGAACACCCTATTCCAACTCCTGCTTGCCCTTACTTCTTTTCATCTTTGCCTTAAACCTTGACTTTGCCATGAGCGTCTGTACTGTGTTTATAAAGTTCCCAACGGCCATCAAAACCAATACGACCCCACAAAATATTATCTGCCAAAAACCAGCTCTCCATAACTAATTACATTATTTCTAGCATATATACAACCGAATTTTTTTTATTGCATAAATGAACAAAAAGAGATACAGTGAGAAGTGAAAACCTACCTGCCATTCTGAAACAACCCGGACAAATGCTGTCTTGAGCAATTGTATTCCTACGTATGCCTCAAAACCCTATAATCATGTTAACAAGCACACAAGAATATGATATGGTTAATTGCAATTATTTGTGGGGAAACTACAAAAGAAATTGGATAACTCATGAATACACACATCATGCTCAATTATAATAACATGCTGCAATGATAAATAGACAAGATTCATCAATCTTTCCCTTTTTGTATCGAGGAAGGGAAAAAGGAAAAGAATATAGATACTAGCATCCTTAGTGCTAAGCAGGAGAAAGAATAAAAGGACATAAGACTAGAAAATAAAAACAATTTGGTTCTTGTAACCAACAATTGAGATTTTCGGCAAGACCTTGGTCATACTCTAAAGCCCTTATTATCGAAGTGACTATCTTTGAGAAGTATTACTGACCTAATGGAAGTTCAACCCTGAAAAAGCACTTCACAAAACCTTCAGAATGTGATTGATTTAAGTTTTATGTGGCTTGAAAACTAAAATTAATCACTTTACAAATTGCCTAAAAGGCTAAAACATACTCCAAATCTGTTCGGGGACTTCAAAGAACTTATACAAACTATTAGTCTACATGCGGCGTGCAACTTCAAAGATAAATATGAATTTGATAGCAACAAGAGATCAACTTATTTGCTGACTCGAACTGTAAATCATGGAAGTCATAAGGAAACTACAAATTTGTGAGTTTGAACTGAAGGTTTTAGACCCTTTTAGTGATAAAGAACAGCATAAAAATGGATATTGTCCCATCTACACATTCCCAGCAGTTGGTCAAAAGTTAGCTTGCATTACCTGCATAAGGAAAAGTATTGGATATAAAACCCACAATTGCCCTTCTACACCAGCTGTTTCTCCCCAGACAACATCCATTCTATTAGCCTGAAAACAACAACATTAAAGATTAGAATTAAGAACTGGTTCTCCATAACTGTAAGGATTTGAAATGAAGGCATAATAGCTACTGCTAATGGCAGATAAGGGAAAAGATTTTGTAATATGAAAAACAACAAAAGGGGATTCAAACCAAGGTTATAGCTAGTATGCAAAAATAATTAAAGTTGAACAAAGGAAACAAAGAGTTCAATTCTTGATGCAGAAAGAGGAATAACACCTTTCCCAGGGCAATACGAGTATAAAGTCTTTGGCGCTGATATCTATTTTGTAGAAGCATGGCAACTCCTTGCATCATAGCCCATTGAAGAAAAAGTTCTACACCTCTCTGCAGAGGATTTAACAGTTTGTTAATCAATGAAACCCAGAATATAATTAGCGCACAATGGTACAACAAAGACCTGCTTTTGGGCACAATTAGGCTGTCCTTTAATCTCCCAAGTGAGACTAACTAGGGCCATGATCATAGCACAATAGTGATGGTATATCCACCTACAAAAGTATTATATAGTCATCAATTGAGTTGCACGAGTAGCCACGAAAATATGATGCACAAACACAAACACAAACTACAGACAAACAGTCAAACACTGAAATGAACATTAGAAGTTTTAGAATAGATTTGTTCCATAAGAAGGTAATAATTGTTTTCCCATGCTGTTTTAAGCCAAAATCTATCAACATTTATCCAAACAAAGCTAAGTACACAATAAATCTAGACTAGATAAAGAGTTTCCACAAAATCATAAAATACATACTAATCGAAAAGAAGATTTCACAAGATTCTAGGTCCTTCATAGCTCAAACTGGCTTGCTAAGAGGATCTGAACAATTTCAAATAACCCAGATAAAATGGTCATGAATAAAACCTCTTTCCCCACCCACGTTAAGTAGCACAGATGTTATTTAAAGACTGATTTTGACAGGTTGAAGTTGTAACTAATGTAGTTCGCCAAACAAACTAGAAAGGCCAATTTAACCAAGAAATATGCATGTATACAATCACAAGCAAGTCTATTCTCTCTCACACAAATCTGGCAATAGCAAGAAATCAAAAGGGTTTAAACAAAGTGCAATAAGAGACTCTTGCAGGTATTAACTGTGCAACAATTATCTAATGGAAGATCTAAATATATGAATTCAACAACAAAGGGGATAAGATATGTATAAAGCATCTTCAGCACAAGAAAATGGTTACAAGTTACAACTGGTACATAAAATCGGTTCCAATGATGTAACTAAAGGATAAAATTAACATGGACATAGACACCATCTTCTATCTATGTCCTCAAACAAACAAACAGGAGGATGTATTCCATCCTTCAAAACTTTAGGAAACATCAACTTCAGCGTTATAATAAGATAGAAAATCATACTGATGACCTCCCTCAGTCTTATGACATCCTATCCTCCCTAAAGCATCTTACTCACTAACTTCTACTTCTTCTCCACTCACCTACACACTCCCACACGGGCAAGCACTTTATAGAGTGCAACCATTTCATCCAAGTTGTCCTAAATAATTGCACAAATCACCAACCTAAGGGCAGGTGAGAATTATTAACATGAAATGACTACTCCAAAAGGAAAATACAATAGGGCAGGGCAAGGATGGTTAACTTTAGTGCATAAACATACACCAGAACAAGGTCACCAATTTCTAAACTCTATCCAACCTTGTGCCTTTGTAAGCATTACATTGAAAACCATGAATACATAATTTAAAATCATGTAATAACCCTTAAAAGAAAAACAGAAAGGATAAGGCTATCTGATTGCTAGGAGAATGAGCATATCTTCCAATATGATCCTGTCCACAGGTCACCATTTGCATGAACCTAAACACACCTTTCAAGTTATTTTAATCACAAAAGTATCGCATATCACAATCGCAGTTTTATGACAGTCCCTTTTATATAAAACAACACTAAAATGTAAAAATGCTTGCTTTGAAGGAAAATGTTGGAAAAAAGATGGCATGTAATTACCAAGGTCGAATATCACTTCCATTTGCTCGCAATATGTTCTCTCGCAAAGCCAAACCAGTATAAAGGAACAACAACCATGCCTTAACATAGCACACACGCAGCATTAAATCCCAGAAAAAAGAAGTGTGCATTAGATCAGCAACAAATAAACTGAATCTCAAACAAAACCCCTAAGGAATAACTTGTATAATACCTCGTACAACTGAACTGGAAATGCAGGCAAGCATCCTTCCCAGAACCAAGATCTTAAAATAAGCAAAGTTAATGGAAAAAGAAGAAACATCAAGGCAGTCCTATCCTGTTGAAGGGAGATAGTAAGTATAAATAGTTAATTTTCAAATATTCCCTTCTTTTTTTCTCGAAAAAAATTCACAAATAAACCAGGAACCAGAAAAAATTCTACTACTAATTTGAGATGTGTAAACATACAGTAATCAAGGGTAAGTGAAATGTTAAATAAGGCTGCATTTGCACATTGGGGAGAATTTTTATATGAGGGAAATGACATGCAATTCTGAAATTGAAGAATATATTCGGATGCCAATAAAAAAATAGAATTAAAAAAAAAAGAAAGTTAAAAGAAAAGTGATGCGCACTCTATAGCTGTTATATTCCTCCTTAACTTTCAATTGGACATCTTTGCGGGATGCACGCACATTGATTGGTCCCAGAAACATCCTCAGAAATCTTCCTGCCATTTCCCAATTACAATTAATTAATTAACAAATCTTATTATCAGGAAAACTAAATCAATTCAAAATTTTTGAAAAAGAAAACAAAAAGCGAGAAGAAGTTATTATACCCTGAGCTTGAGCAGGAAGAAAAGCAGCGGCGTCCCCATCGGTTATAATACATCTGGCTCTCAGTAAATCCTCATCGAGCTGTTTGGAATCCAAATTTGATTTTTTTTTTTTTAAGATTTCATTAATTAAAGAGAAAATAAAAAATGGAAAAAGGAACATTCAAAGGTAAGGAGGAGTTTGCCTTGTCGGCGAGCTTGGGATCCAAAAGCTTTTGAGAGAGAAGGGAATTGATCAAGGAACGAAGGCGGCGAATAGAGGACTCGAGGGAATTAGCTTTCTGGCGAAGAGATTGTTCCTCGTTGGATATCCTGGAAATAAGCGAAGCGCCTAATTCTTGCAACTCTCTGGCTTGCTCCACCACTCTCCCTACTTGTTCTTCCACTTCATTCGCCGATTCATCCACCCTCTCCATTTTCTTCTCCTTAGGGTTTTTCGAATAAAAAAAAAATGATCAACACTATACTATTCTATACTTTGATATGAAATCTCAACTTCGTGGTTTTTTTTTTTTTTTTTTTTTGATAGTCTTTATAGCGGAAGACGAAAAGAATATGAAATATGAAAATATTTATTTATTGTTCAAAGGTTGATAGAAGTGAGGATGTGGTTCAGTTAGTCTTTTTGGAACCATGTCATTGGGGAGTTGGGCGCTTGGAGAATGGGAAAGGAAAAGGGCTTCACTTCACTTCTCTTCTCTCTTCGGTCTTTTATACTAGGTGAGATGCCCACGTTACGTTGTGGCCTCCATTAAAATTATTAAAATGATATGAGTTATAATTGCTTAGTCATGGAGAAGATAATATCCAAATTATAGATATAAAATAAAAGTTAAAGTTAAAATTTACAACATAATAATAAAAAAATTATTTATAATTAGGATAAATGACAATTTTGAAAGTGTTAATTTTGATCATGCAAAAAAGTTAATAATCATTGACTTTTAAATGATTATTAATGATAAATTTTTTTTCATCTTTATGTAAATGACTTATTTCAAGTATTGTAATGGATAGTTCATGATTTGTTTTCTTATGAAATTAGTAAAGTGATGAAAGTATGTTGATATGAGAAATGCTTGTGGAAAGAAGTTGAGATATTTTATATACACAACATGATAAAAAAATCATTAATAGATATTTTGAATTCATTGTTCATTCAATTTTATTCATGAGTGAAATTATATAGTAATTCATGATAGTAGTTTTATGTTTAATTATTTATCAAGGTGGGATTTATTTCAACATTTATGTTGGTCATCAAGCAATGAAACACAAAATGATCACAATAAGTATCATTTTCATTTTCTGCATGATAATTAGAATTAAAGGTTGTTCAATTTTTAAAATTTTTCTTTAATTGAAATAGTAGAAAAACCAATAAGTATAATTTAAGTAGATAAGAAATAAATGTAATGAATGTCAAATGAACATCTTACCTTATGTTTCTTGCAGGTCATTTGATATCTTAATAGCAGTTGATTCAGTATGCAAAAAAGCTTTGAAATTCATATTATTGTTGTATTTGAAAGTTAAAATGTTTTTGTTTTTGAAATTATGTGTTTCAACAAATTCTTTCCACCCATTTTACAAGCAAAGTCGGCCATTAAATTTTTACTTCTCCATTTTGAATGAATTTGGGAGAAAACTATTAATTTGCATAGGTGTTGGAGTTGGAACAATAGACATGTGCTTTTGACTAAAACTTTATGAAAATTTTTGTGATAATAAAGTATAGTGAGGATAGTTAGTTTATGATTGTTAAAAATGAGTTACATGTTAATATTAAAAAATGAATTCATTGTAATAGAGTAATAATAGATAAAATGATACCGAATCAAATTATTAAAACTATTTAGAAAGATAAATGGTATTTAAAAAGTAAAGTCTACTTAAAGTTTGTGAAAAAATCTAATCTCTAAATTTATTTTTTCTATAGAATTCATTATCCAAATAGAAAAAATGAATTGCATCTTATATCTCACAGGAATGTACATTAATGAATGTTGATAAATGCAGGCAAAGCTAATATTTTCATGTAATTTTAAAAAAGCAAGAGACAATAAGCTTTTTCAAAAAACTTCAAGAAGTAAGAAGAAAGATCAAACTGTAAGCTAAAGTTATCATGGTTGAAATGCTTGACATTTTATATTTAATAATTTTTTCGTTCATTTTTAAAAATTGTGAGGGTTTGACTGAAAGTTTGGTGCTAAAGATTGTAAAGTTTTATGTTCATATATAACTTGATCCCTTTTTTATTTTCTTAAAAAGTTTAATTCCATAAACAAAAACTTGAAAGTTGAATTAATAGAAAAACCAAACTAACAAAGATGTAATAGCAAAGAAGAAATACATAATTGCTATGTTGTTTATAAATTGAAAGATTGAAAAACCAAATTACTATTATTGACTATTTATTTGAAACTAGCATCTACTTGTTGAATCTTATCCACAACAAAACCTTGTTCATATCTTCTTTAATTTTGATAAATGCCAAAATTAACAATACAACTTATGTAAGTTAAGACTCACTTGAATTTGGCTCCTTTGCAAAAACAGTGTGGGCAATTGCTTTTTTTTTTTCTTATAAATAGGAGTAGATAAAAATGCAACATGTTAAAAGAATTCCAATTGCTACTATCCCCACTTTGGTTGAGACAAAATATCTTTTATTCTTCTTCCCTTTTGGATTATGATCAGGTATATCATCATCTTTTTTTGGCTTTTGCAGTAATTTTTTTCCTTCTTTTATGGACAATTCAATAGCCAAAACCATAATGCATTGATAAAGGTTTCATAGAAATTTACCTCTGTCATGTAATAAACTTCATAACTAAAAAATTAGACAAAATATTTTAAATTAGAAAATTGAAACAACATGTGTTACAGTACATACTTGATAAAAGGTCCAAACCACATTAATCTGTTCCAATATAGGCTTCAAACACATAATGATTTGTATAGTGCAGCTGTAGGGATTTACAAAACAAAACTTTATCTACGTATAAAAATGATTTAAAAGGGAAACCAGGTAAGAACAACATCTAAACACATTAACCAAATAAACAAAGTAAGACCTCCCTATAGTTTTCATTTTTAAATTGTATTTTATAGGTTGATGATAGATAACATGCAAGCATATAAGTGTCATAAATAAATGGTTGTTGATTGTGAATTAAGAATTTCAAATGGTTTTTGCATCCTATTTGGTGATATAGTTGGATTTTTCAAATTTTTAAGACAAATCTTTATGTTTGTTATAACGTATACATCTGTGGACTTATTACTAGATATGGACTAAAAGAGTTACCACCAATCTTTTTTGTTAATGTGTGATTGGTTACCTAATCGAATTTACCTTATTTAAAGAGGAATCTTAAGATTGACTTAGGTATCTTTAAATAGTAAATTATAGTATATGAAACTCGAATTTAAGTTCGGGAGTATGGTTACGTATGAGAAAGTTATAGCACTCTTACAACACTTATCCAAAAAATGGTACCAGTTTAATTTCAGATGATCAAAGCCTTAACCATGTTTATGATTTACCAAAATATTATATATTGAGAGCTAATCTTAAAATTTTTCTAATAGTTTGGTAGCAATTTTAAGATAATTCTTTCATTTCAAAAGTATTCATAGAGACTAGTATTTTACATGAAGAGGCTCCATTATCGAATTTATTAATATATTTTTATTCAAAAAATATTTAGTAAAATCTTTCAATAGTTTAATAAGATTTACTTTGATGTAGATCTCCTAATAATTTAGTGAGATTTTATTGTAAAATTATTTTTTTTTAAAATGCATTAAATCTTCCAATAATTTGGTAAGATTTAATTTAAAATTTAAATCCTCCAATAATTTGATAGGATCAAAATAAAATATTTTATTGATAATAGTTATTATTCTTATTTTTTAAAATTGATTTATGAAATTCTCTAATAGTTTGGTAGAATTCATAAAAATTTAAATTCATGAAAAATCCTCCAATAGTTTGGTAAGATCTATGAATTTATTTTAGAAGTAGTTTTGGTTGCTTTTAAAAAATAAGATAATAAAAAATGAAATTCATAGAGGTATTAAAAAATAACAAATTGTTTAATTTAAAATAACAATAATAATAATAAGAATAATAAATAAATAAATAAAGCCTAAAAATTAAAAATTAAAAAAATGTAAATGAGAAATTAAAAAAAAAAAATCTACGATCGGGTCGGATCCAAAAGCAGGTCACATGCGAATCCACGCAGGTTAAGATGCGTGTTAAGCTGAATGAAACGACGTCGTCTGGCATTAGAATAAAAGCCAAGCTCTTTAGTTTTTCTTTAGAAATCTTTAGCCTTTTCTCTATCTAGGATGAATTTTTCTCTTGTCTCTCTCTAGAATTCCTAGATTTAGTCATAAAAAACTAGACAATCTACTGGTTTCGGGAAGTTGTCACCTGAACTTGGCTGAAAACTTCAAATCCCGTTGAAAAATTCAACCAAAAAATTCAAACCTTCAAACCTAAAACCCAAAATTTTTTAAATTTCCAAAAACCCAAAAAAACTTTTTTGGTTTACCAAAGATCCAATTCTTGAATCGTAAAAACCCATAACAATTTTCACAAAAGCTTAGAACTGTTAAAACTATTTTTCACACCAACCTCCTTTTCTGTCTTCCTTCGTGCTTTTGCGTTCAATTTATATCCTGTTTTAGTAGTAATTTTAGGGTTTAGATAGACTTATTCTAGGCTTGAATCCTAGGATTCAATTATGTTTGATTTGATTTGATTTGATTTTAGGCCTAAATCCCTTTGATTCGATTTTATGCAAATTTATTGCTTGATTATAAGAAATTTGTTTGATTCCCTTTCCTTTTTATTATCCCTAAGTTTCCTTGTTAACGGAATGAAAGAAAAGAAAAATAAAATAAAAAATAAACAAAAAAATAATGATAGCAAGAATAATATAACCATATAATAAACAAAATAAAATTTGATCGCACTTTGAATAAAAATAAGTGTTTACAGTTGTCCTTCTTTATATATTTCTGTGAAACAAGAATGATGCAAAGACATAGATAGTCATTATGTCCAGGCCCAAAAACTGAAGTCAAATTAAAATGTGAAAATGACTGAATTGAGTCAAAGTAAAAATTATTAAGGTATATCAAAGTATAAAAGTGAAGATGATTGAGACTGAGCTACGAAGCAGAAGATTAAATAATCTAAACTAAAGAAGACTGAGGATGATTGATCGAGATTGAACTGTAAATCAAAAAAATAAAATGACCTGGATCAAGCTAAGATTGAAAATAAGAGACTGGGATCAAATTATGGGTTAGAAAAAAAAATGATTTGGATCGAGCCGAGATCAAAATTGAGCGACTGTGATTGAACCATAATCTAGGAAAAATAAAATGATCTGGATTGAGCCAAGATCAAAACTAAGTGATTGGGATCGAACCGCAGGTTTAAAAATATAAAATGATCTGGACTGAGTCAAGATCGAAATTGAACGACCAGGATTGAACCATGATAAAAAAAAAAAACATGATTTAGACTAAGCTAAGATCAAAACTGAACGACCAGGATCGAATCGCGAGTCAAAAATATAAAATGATCTAGACCAAGTTGAGATCGAAACTGAGTAATTGGGATTGAACTGTAAGTCAAAGAAGTAAAACACTCTGGATTGAGCCGAGATCAAAGCTGAATGATCGGGATCGAACAGCGAGTTAGAAAAA